GAGGCCACTGAGCAGAACTTCCAATACAAAGCAGGTCTGCAGGAATGCGAACCAGACACGAAAGGGCAATGCAGGAGACCCCAGGATGGGGACGAAAGGTTGCGTTCGTGAGGGCTGAGGCAAACACATGGTTATTCTACCCGCTTTCTACGACAAGGCGTCAAAGAGCTGGGGCAACATTCCTTTTTTGTTTTGTTTTTTTAAATAGCATTTGCACTGACACTCAGGAAACACATAAAAAAGACATGATGCTAGATGTTAATAAAAAAGATTACAGAGTCTGGGTTTAAGGCCACATAGATTCAAGTTTGAATGTGATCCTGCCCTTCGACAGCCGTGTGAACTTGAGCCAATTAAACTCTAAGCCACTATTTCCTCATCTGTAAAATGGGGGCAGTGTCTGCCTTCTGAGATCAGAGACTTACTTGAGATAACATTTCCAGTGCCAGATAATTAGACAAGCCACAGACATGTTAGTCTTTGGGCAAAACTCTTTTATTTTTTGTCTTGTAGTGACAGTTAGGCTTTCACTTCTGTGTATTTTGACTTGGCAAATNCAGAGGGCATGTGTTCAATAAATGTAAAAAATATTTGTTGAAGGCAGATCAGCCGTGACCTTTCTAGAATATTCTAAACCTTTCCTGGTGAGGGGTTTTCACCTTGTAAATGGCTCTCTAAGGATCAGTTTTTCACTCATCACCTGCAGTGTGGCTACAGAGTTCTAAGCATGCATTTCACTGGGGGCAGTAAAGTGGTTAAAAATTCAGGCTGTGTGGAGTCCAGGTGATCTGGGCTGACACCACAACCACATTCTGGCCAGCATGACAGTTCGCACCCACTAGTGTGAGGGTCCCATTGAGATACAAGGCTGGTGCAGAGCCAACCATCGCACTGCTCAGTCCAGGCTCAGAATGAAGCAAATACTTCTAACACTACAGAGAGCACTGCCTGGTATGTGATTCCTCTGGGAGATTTTTGTTTTTTCCTCTCTTGTCTACATGTCACTTTTCTGTGTTTTCATGTCCTTGCATCTCAAACAGGGACACCAAGGATCCATTTTTCTGGAGGAAAGATGCAAAGAAAGTAAATCAATTCTAGGAGCCTAGGAAGCAGTGCCACCTGGGCAGAAAGATTGTTGAAAACATCACTCCGAATTGACCCAGGTTTAGCACAGTGATTGCCTAGGAGGAAAGATAGCTCTCTATTGAGTTTTGACATCTTTATCGAGTTTTGATATTTCTATTGAGTTTCAATACCCCCAGCAAGAAGGATGCAGGGGAGGAACAGACACCCAAAGGCTTCTGACCCTGTGCAGTTCAAACAAGGCTTAACTCTTATGATCAAAAGGGAATATTTTACAAAATCTTCCTCCAGCTCCCAGCAAACTCTGGTGATGGAGCGTGTTAAAACAAGGGATATGGTTTGCAAATTGGTTGCTCTATGCATTATATCATAACTAAGATTTTCCAGATAGGTTACCCAGCCCGAGTACACTCATATTTAAATACAGTCCCACTCATCAGTAGGTGTAACCTGCTTAGGTGACCTGATCTTCTATTTGGTTAACATCCAGACTGGAAAATAAGAATACACTGTCTCGTGAGAGACATGTGAATTCATTCAAAAGCAATGCACTGTAGGCAAATTAGACTATCCTCTAGCAGTTCCTCCCCTTTCACCTGCTTTCTCGCCTCCCTTCTCTTTTTCCTTTTCTTTCTTCCCTTTTCTCCTTCCTCTTCCTATTTTTCTTCCCTCCTCTTTCTTCAACAAACAAGCGCTGAAGATCTATTAGGTGGCAAGCACTACCCCAGGTGAGGGAGACTCAATGGGCCTATTAACTGTAGTCCCTGTCCTCAGGGAAATAGACACAGAAATAGATCAATGACCATTGCGTTATGATATGGTAAGCACTTTGCCTGCAAACAGCTGAGAGGAGAAAGAGGAATATATATGGAGAAGCTGACATTTGTGCTGGCTCTTCAGCACAAATAGGAGTTAGGCAAGCGCAAAAAGAGGGGAAGGGGAAGGGTGGAAATGGAAAAAAAGGGACAGTCCTGCGAGAAACGATAGCATGGTGCTTCCTGGGTCTGTGTGCATGCGTGCTTACTGTGACCTGTGACTGCGCTGCTGCAGAACAAGCAGGATCTGAATGTGACATAAAGACAAAATGTGAACTTGGGAGTCAGTCCCACTGTGTTCAGTTACACTTTGCCTCTTGCTGGTTTTAGGCCTGCAAGCAAGCTGACCCATCTGTCCGAGGCTTCATTGTCTCATCTTTACAGCGGAGCCGCACCAGCTCACCGTAGTGTGCACTTTAGCTGTGGTCGTGTTCAGGATGCAGTCGCACCATGCCAGGTTACAGTCAGCACACGGATGGTGGCACGTAGGAGGTGGGGTGCCAAGTGACAGAAGGATGTAAGGGTCATTTGTAAACTCTGAAATATTATCAAAATGTAATGGGAGTGGCACTTGGATTGTTTGCTCTTTCCAGCACTGGTCTCCAGAAGACTTCACTGTCTGCGGTCTGCTGGGTAAATATTTAAAAGTGGTTGCTTGGTATCCAGGCTCTGAGACAGGAAGTCTCCAAGGTACAGCTGGGGAGCAGAGGGCAGAGGGCTCACTCACTCATCTGAAGAGGCCTGCTGTGTGAGCTGATGTGGAACCAGGAGGGGATGGGGAAGACTAGTAACACGGCGTGGGATTAGAGCTAAGCAATGGCCTGGGCTTATTAAACAGGAGCAAAATGAAGGCTGGGCTGGGGAGACCCTCAGACACGCCTGCATTCTCCTCAGCATTAGCAAGACCATTGCCATGCTGGTTTATGGTACCTTGAGTGAATGTTGGCCATTTGGGCTAAACTTGCCTTGTATAGAGTTGGGGCAACTGAGGTTCACTTTGGGTCAGAAACTTCTTTCTGATCACATAGGTAACTGCCCCACCCCCACCCTGCTTCAAGATATCTGCCTTTGAAGCTGGTGTGATGCTGGTTCTCTCCTTATCCTTTCAAAGTCTTTGTTTTCCCATCTTCAAGATGGTAATAATAGTATCTCTCTCTTGTGGGTTGTTATAAGGATATGAGTCAAAAGTGCTTAGCAGGATACTCAGCATGTGGTAAGGGCTCAGGGCTATTTTTAGCACTTCCTTCTATCTTGACCTGATTCCTGCTGTTTTGAACAAGCCCCTGACATGGTGCCTTGTATGCCAGCTTTAAAATAGCTCATTACATAATTTTGTCCAGAAACCATTTTGTACTTGTAGCTAAGTAGTAGCAGGCGCTGAGAGTTTAAGAGAATTTATGGGAGAAATACTTCAAATTGAGAATGACAGCTGAATATAACACACTTACTACTTGCCCGGCACAGGTCCAGACAATTTACATGTACTCACTCAGTCTTCACAACAACCCTATGAAGTAAGTATTGTTACCTCCTGTTTTGCGGATGAGGAAACCGGAGCACAGAGAGGTAAATTAATTGCCTGAGGTCACACAGTTGGTAAGTGATGGAATTCAAACCTACACAGTCTGGATCCAGAAACGTTACTGTTGACTTCTCATCAACCAATTTTTTGTCCCTGTCAAAATTGTTTCTTAAAAAAAATTTAATGGTAGAAAAGCTCATTTGAACTCTTAAAATGCTAGTTTTTTAAAATGGAAACCTGTGACTGGTCTGCTGACCAAGGAAGCTGAGGACCATGTGCATGGCCATGGGGTCAATAAATGTTCCTGATGATGAGTCATAGGAAGTGAAATGAAAAATAAAGGCCAGTTATCACTATTTGCAAGGCAAAAGGGAAAACCTCTCCCAGGGCAAAGTGTGTGTGCAGGGCAGATGTTATTGTCAAACTCTTCTCCCAATATTCCTTCTGAGTCAAATGAAATTGTAATTTTCAGCTTCTTTTCTGTAAAGCGGGACCCAAACCTACTGTACCCAGCAGAATCTCAGGAAGATAAAATAAGACAAATGGTGTTCACAATGACAATGTGAATATCATTCACCATAGCCAGGATTTAAAAACAACCTTATGGGGCTTCCCTGGTGGCTCAGATGGTAAAGAATCTCCCTGCAATGCAGGAGACTTGGGTTCAATCCCTGGGTTGGGAAGATACCATGAAGAAGGAAATGGCAACCAACTCCAGTATTCTTGCCTGGAGAATTCCATGGACAGAGGAACCTGGCAGGCTACAATCCATAGAACTGCAAAGAGTTGGACATTACTGAACAACTAACACTTTCACTTTTCATGTGTCTGTCAATGGATGAATAGATAAAGAAGATGTGGCAGATAGCTAGCTGGATAAATAGACAAACAAACTTGAGATATTATGTCAAATATATATAGTGGAATATTGTGCAGCCACGAGAAAGAAGGAAATCCTGTTATTTGCAACAACCTAGATGGATCTTGAGGGCATTATACTAAGTGAAATAAGTCAGAGAAAGACAAATACTATACGATATCAATTATATGTGGAATCTAAAAAAGCTGATAGGAACAAACACTAGAATGGTGGTTACTAGGGGCCAGGGGAAAAGGAAAGAGGTTAGCTAAAGCATACAAACTCGCAGTTGTAAGATGAATAAGTTCTGGGGACCTAATGTACAGCATAATGGTTATAGTTAAATAATACTGTATTATATACTTGAAAGCTGCCAAGAAAGTATCTTAAATGTCCTCACCACGAAAAAGAAATGGTAACTACATGCCATGCTGCAGGTGTTAGCTAATGCTATGCTGGTAATCATTTTGCAATATGTAAGTGTATCAAGTCAACACGTGTATTAAACTTACATAATGTTATACATCAGTTTATTTCAATAAAGCTGGCGGGACTTCCCTGGGGGTCCTGTGATTAAGACTCTGTGCTTCCACTGCAGGGGGCACAGGTTCAGTTTCTAATTGGGGAACTAAGATCCCACATGCCACAATGGCACAGACATAAATAAATAACTAGCAAAGATTATGTTTTTTAAAAAAATAAAACTGGGGAAAAAAAGAGAACATGTGAGAACTGGAGAGAGCGCTTTCATTACAGTGATCAGAGTTGGCCAGGGAGGGACTGACTTTTCTGACCTGCTCCAACAGACTCTCGGGACTCTTCCTCCTCTCCCCATCTCATCCCAAGTCTTCCAGTTACCCCTTTTCCTGCTCCTAAGACATCTGGCCATGGGGATCATCGTCTGAGGACCACAGTGTGCCAGGGAACTGAATTTTAGCAGAGGCATTGTGAAGACCGAGAAGGCATGAGGCCAGCGCAGGACCAGTTTCTGATGTTTGCCCCCTTGGGGTGACTGCTTACCAGCCTGATGAACTGTCAAACATTCTCACAGGTAAAAGGTCACTTCTCCCCGCCTGACAGAAGCTATGCAAAAACGACTGCGGGTTTGTCTTACTAGCCAGGGGCCTGTCCGTGGGAGGCACGGGAAGCAGAGGGCGGGTGCTGGGATGGATGATTCCTCTGTCCTGCCTGCATCTGCAGAGGGCCAGAGGAGCTTAGAAATTGACAGCATGGGGCCTCGTGTCCCTTTGTGTTTTAAACACCTGGTTGCCCACCGTTGGTTCTATGGGCAACGGAGGAGAGTGGATCTACTTCAGGAAATCTACTGAAGCCTCATCTTTCTGAAACTGTCCTGACTCTCCTGGAAAGAAATGAGGATTTTCTGCCAGTGGTGAGCTGGCACTGAGGCGAATAACCATTTGACTGCCCAAGATGGAGGGTTTCCTGGGAAATCCTGGGTTTTTAGTGCTAACTCTGGGACAGTCCAGGTGAACCAGTATATTTGGTCACCCTAGCTGAAACTGACTGTGCAATTTTGCAATAGCCAGCATGTGAACACACAAATGACTGAGTCCTGTTAAATCTGAATCATTAAGATATACGTGGCTTCCCAGGTGGCTCAGTGGTAAAGAATCTGCCCACCAATGCATAGGAGACGTGGGTTTGGTCTCTGGGTCGGGAAGATCCCCTAGAGAAGGAAGTGGCAATCCACTCCAGTATCATTGCCTGGATAATCCCATGGACAGATGAGCCTTGCAGGTTGCAGTCCATGGGGTTGCAAAGAGTCAGACAGTACTAAGTGACTGAGCATGCATGCAGATTTACTAGGTATAGATATTTTAAAAATTCTCCAGATAATTCTAATGTGCAACCATGGATGAAAACCACTGGTCTCATGAAAATCAAGAAATTTCCAACTGACATTTCAATGAATGAGAAAGCTTTAAAGATATATACACTGAGTGTTTGTATAAGTAGGAAATCCTAGACTTTATCCAGGGTGCAAAAGATAAAGGGGAGAGTTTTATCAGAGATTCTTAGGTTAGAAAGTCAACCAAGGGTTTTTCAAAGTGGATAACATGGAACACTGAAGATATTAAAACCCACTGGATTTCCAACTGGGAGAGGAGTTCCTTTTAAAATTCTCTCTAGATTCTTGTGAGTAGTTGGTCTTTGTCTGGTAATAGTATGTTTTTCACAGTTTCCCAGTCCAGGAGTTAGCAAACTATAGCCTGGGGCCAAATCCAGTCCATTACCTGTTTTTCTAAATAAAGTTTTACTGGGACATCACCAACCCACTCATATCCATTTGGTCAATGATTGCTCCCACACTATAATAGCAGACCTTAGTAGCTGCAACAAAGGTTTTAAGGTTTCCCTGATGGCTCAGCAGTAAAGAACCGGCCTGTAATGCAGGAGACACAGGTTTGATCCCTGGGTGGGGAAGATCCCCTGGGGAAGGAAACAGCAACCCACTCCAGTATTCTTGCCTGGAAAATCCCATGGACAGAGGAGCCTGGTGGTCTATAGCCCATGGGGTTGCCAGAGCGGGGACTTTAGACTTAGTGACTAAACCATTACCAACAACAAAGATTGTGTGGCCCAGAAAGCCTCAAATAGTTACTTTGCAATTATCTTCTCTGTTTTATGCAAACAAGTGTTTTTTTTTTTTTTATCAGAAAACAAATGACAGAATCTGAGCCTTTGACTGGCAATAGTATTTAGTTTGAGTTTAATACACTCTTCTCACTTTTTGTATTTATGGCAACTGATACTAGTTTCCCATTTATGGTACTAATACAAGGTTTCTTTTTAAGATAAATTTGTGTCAAAAAGATGAGTGAATTTAAAGAAAATAGTTAGAACTATTAATAAAATATGTGGCATAAGTATTTGGAAACATTCCAAAAGGTCACACTTAAGTGTGAAGTCTGGGAAACATTGTTCAGTGTATCCAATCACCTCATTTTACAGATACACTGAAGCTTGGTGGTGAAGTCATCTGCCCAGAGTCACTTACTCCATTACGGAAAAAAACTGGATTCCTCTCTCCAAGGACAATGTTCTTTTACCCTTAACTGGCCACTCATTTGTACTTTGAAACCAGTTAGCATGAATGCAAAGTATTGTACTATTTAAAGTTGATGAATTTAGAGCTAGATACTGCCCTGGTGACATTTCCACATACATATAGTAGACACTGAGGCAATGTGAAACAAAACAGAGGGGTCATTCACCTCTTTAAACATGAATCTTGGGTGATTAGTGGCATATTGTTTCATTAAGTTGATTGTTTCTTGGCCATGGTTCCCTTGAAACAATAAGTTTGATTAAAAGTCTTGCTTTTTTTGGTTTTAAATCAAAATCCACTTAAATGCTTGTCAGAACAAAAAGTTAAACTATTAAATAGAAAAAAACATATATAGTAGTATACTCTGTTGGGTATATTTAAGCACAGTTTCAATCTTACAAGAATATTTGGTAATTTTTGCCATGCAACTATTCCTCCATTTTAATTAGGACTTGCCGTGGTCACATTGACTAATAGCAAAGCTGATTCCTCTGTTCTTAGATCTTCTTTCCACTTGAATCAGCTTTTGAAGTCTATTAGCCAAGGATGCAGACCAGATAGCTAGGAAAGTGTGTTAGGAAAGGTGTTAGGAAACCTTTGAAGGGTACTGAGAACCAGGGAGCTCTTTGTTTCTATTGATTCGTCCTTTCAGAGATGGAGTTTTAAAGTGACAGGTGTGACTATTAAAGGCTTGGCCATCACTCTGTTAGTGTTAGTCTTGGTCATGTCCGACTCTTTGTGACCCCATGGACTGTAGCCCGCCAGGCTTCTCTGTCCATGGAATTCTCCAGGCAAGAATACTGGGGTGTGTAGCCATTCCCCTCTCTGGGGGATATTCCCGACCCAGGGATTGAACCCAGGTCTCCTTCATTGCAGGCAGATTCTTTACCATCTTTACCATCTGAGCCACTAGGGAAGCCATCACTCTGGATGAGAACAAATATTCGCAAGACTGGGCAAATAAGGCTGAAAATAGAAAAAGCATCCCCTTGGATCAGATCTCAAAATGATATACTTACATATGCTGTGTGTTCTGAAAAGTAAGTGAAACTCTTTAGATTTAAAAAATGATCTTTCTATTAAATTTGGGGTTTCTATAAATTTAAATTTTATAGATTGGCATTTTAAGAACACCTCTTAATGAAGATTGGCATTGTTAGGTCATTTTCCAGAAAGACACAATTTCTTAGGCTATGCTCTTTGGGTTATACATCTCAATGTGGTATTTACTGTCAAAAGTGACTATGAGGTTGAGACTTGACCTTAAGGAGATGTGAACTTAAGACTCGTCAAGGTGGTGGGTGGCGTTGTTTCCAAAGGTACTAGCTATACACTCAGAAATGCAAACAATGTGAGAAGCCTACCATGCCCTGTTTCTGGTCTTGAGAGTCTTGTTTTTCAGGAGTTTTAAATCCAAATCCAGTTCAATGCTTGTCAGGGCAAAAGTTAAACTATTATTAAAAAATAGAAAAAAAATACATTGTAGTGTACTCTGTTAGGTATACTTAAGCACAGTTTCCATTTTATAAGAATATTGGTAATTTCACCATGTAACTACGACTCCATTTTAACTAGGACTGGCCAAGGTCACACTGACCAATAGCAAAGCTGATTCCTCCGTTCACGGGGAGATTGACTGGGGCAAGTCTTTGAGGGGGCTCCACCCAGAGGAGAGGTGAGCAAACTGACTCCTGAATATTTCAGACAGTGTCTTTCCAGAAGAGCAGTGTTTATCTAGGCAGGAAAACCAATAGCTTGGCAGTCTTGTTCCTGGGTATTTCTGCAGGGAAGCTCTTCTCATTCTGGCTATCAGAACTTAATTAATGAGCTAATGACCTTCGGAGTTGGGGGAACCACTGCCTCTCGATTGCTGATGTCATCAACAGGAAGACAAGGGTCAAGGTTCAAGATGAATTGGCTTTTACCCTGTGATAAGAGGGGCAATCAGTGGGAGAGAGAGCCTGGGCCAGAGGGGCTGGAAGGCATGATCGCTGGTGGAAGCTCAGCCAGATAAGGACATTATAGGGACTTCTTCTGCCCAGTAGCCTTGCTTTCCCATTTAAGGTCTGTGTCTCGTGAAGTGGTTCTCAACTGACAAGGAGTGATTTTGCCCCTCTAGGGACATTGGGCAATGTTTAGAGAGTTTTTAGTTGTCACAAATAGGGGAGTGTTGGTGGTATCTAGTCACACATGCCAAGGGACTCTACTAAACATCCCACAGGGCACACAACAACCCCCTGCAGCAAAGAATTACCTGGTTCCAAGTGTCAGTAGTGCTAAGATCTGATCTGTGAAGGGTCTACAGCCCTGATCGCACGGCTGTGACAGCTCTGTCCACATGTTACCTGAAGGTGTTGAGAAGGCTGCGCTTCTGGTGGTAAATGACACCTAGGTGACAAGGTCCCCAGTCACAAAGAGGGCATTGCTGTGGTTACTTAAAAGAGGGGATTAGAAGTGGACCATGGTGTCTTTCTCTCTTTGATTTTCTTTCAAAGGAACCCAGATGACACATCTGAAAGATGAGTGCTGGGAGAAGGTAACTAGGAGGATGAGTTCAGGTCCAAGTTGGTCCCAAGGGAGAAGCCTGTTATCCCCACTGCTGCTTTGCATCATAGCCTCAGCTGACAGCCCTAGCTGGCAGCTCCTTTGGGAGGCCGTCAGTACTGTGTTGGGCTGGACAGCCCCAAGTCTCTGCTAGAGGCAGAACACAATGGGTGTCTCAAAACCAGGTTTTGTGTCCTGGGGGAAATGTCAGCTTTGAGGTTGTTCACAGATTGTTTGGGGATTTAGAGGCCTCTAAAGAGTGTTAAACCTTCAGATAGCCAATGACTGCTGTATTGCCTTAACAAACGTGCACTTGGAGAATATGGTGGTGATGGGGAGATGAGGGCTATTTCTCAACTATGAAAGGAGCCATGCCTTCAAGAGCGATGAAAAATGGAGCACTTTTCTCATTAGAAAAGAATTGTCCATGTCCTTCT